TTTTGGCACGAAAAAAACGACATAGTATAGTATGCCGTTTTTGGCACGAAAAAAACTACATAGTATAGTAAGGCGTTTTTAGCAGAAAAAACGACCATGTATAGTAAGGCGTTTTTAGCGGAAAAAAACAACCATCTATTTTTAGTCAGGCGTTTTTAGCCCGAAAAAAATGACCATGTATTGTTTGGCGTTTTTTACCGACAAACATGACCATGTATAGTCAGCCGCTATGTGCTAGTCAGTGTGTTTTGTATTAATGTTTCCTTGTTTGCAAAGTCCCCCCCCCCCACCCCCTAGTGCCTAGAGAGGCCCAGTATGGGTTTTTTTGCCCCACCCCCTCCTCCTCCTCTCTTATGTTTTTGTTTTCATCGCAAAAAACGGGTGGTACAATGACAACTCAAGCTTCTCTGATTCTGGATCAAGACGATTTTCCCAAACTTGGGAAAAACTAGCCCATTCTCCTCATAATTCTTTGCCATTGGGTTCGGAAAACAACCCGGCATTTGTTTTTGTTTTTTTTTTGTGCGCATTGCTTAACTCGCTGTCGCCGAATATTCATCAGCACATCCTGGTTTGCATGTTTTGTGCGGGTATGAGGGACATGTCGGCTGTTGCATTGCGTGTGTGAGCTGGAAGAACAAGCTCACTTCAAAGTGTTCTTGCCGGATATGCCGCAAAAACACACATGTTCGCCGCCATCAAAAAGGCCATTTTGCATACATGAATTTTAATCTGGTTTTTTTTTTTTTCGCAAACAGTCAATCAACAGACAAACCGCTTAAACGAAAAAAAGAAAAAAAGATATTTTGCTCATGCGGGTAGAGTGTCAAGGTAAATACGCGCACCATCTTTTCTTCGGCAATCTGCCCTCGTCTTGCCGGTGAGTCGTTCTTTCATTTCCGTTTCTAAAGATGTCGTCGTTGAAACGCGGCGCTATTGAACAAGGCGTCAGCTTTTGAATAAAGGAAGGCGGGATTGCCACCAGGATGTGCAAACGCATTCAACTGTGATCTTAAGAAGGTTTATTGAAGGGGGAAAAAAGGCCGCGGTACACAGGCACACGTCAGACACAATACACGGGGTTCAAGAAGAAAGCTTGAAGACGGCGCCCGCCTCAATCGCTTGCTAGCCCAGCTATGCGAACAGCTTATCCCACAGCTCCACCTTCATGATGGCTTTGCCCAGCGGGCCCATGGTGGCTTTGACATCCAGGTAGTTGCCCACGTAGTTGATCCCCGTGCCCGTGGCGTGCTCGCGCACAAAGCCGTGCTCCAGCTGCTTCTTCTCGTTGTACATCTCCTTGAACAGGTCCTTGTTGCACTCGCGGCCTTTCTTGTAGATGCCCACAGCGTACCAGTTCTTGTACAGGTTGTAGTCCCACGGCACGGAGAACATGATGGCCAGCGTCTCGATGTAATCTTTCTGAGACCTCTCGAAAAGGTCGTAGGTGAAGACGCCCACGCTGCCCGTGGCCTTGCTGCTGCTCTTGGTGAAGGTGCACACCTCCGTCTTCAAGGGGCGCACCGTGGGCTGAGGCGGGTTGTACACCTCGCCGTTCTCCAGGTGCACCCTGTCGATGGGCCATCCATTAATCGATTAATTGATCCTTTAGATATCAGTTGACTTTGTGTGTGGGTGTATGGGGGGGGGGGGGAGTTCCCGAGCGGCTTTGGCAAAATTCAGTGCACTACTTGATTACAACCAGCAGAGGCACGGTTGATTCGCCCTCAACTAGCTTGCGAGGCTCAAGATGGCTTTATCCTCTGCCTCTTGAAAAGAATGGAATTCATAAGAATTTCAATCGGATATCATTTTGCGTCTCAAATAAATAGATATGAACTACAAATAATACAAATGTACATCATTGAAAGCAGATTTCTTCTTAAAACAGATTTAAAAAAAAATATATTGTGCAATAACAAACAAAAATAATTGAAATGCCAAGACACTTAAAATCGTTATTGCAATGTTCTCTGCAATCTACGGTGAATGGAAATAAGAATTCAAACCCAATCATTTGACGCCGATTCCTTAATATTTGATGTGTTCTGAGATGTATTTCTTGATACAGTTGTGCCTCGAGATACGAGTGACCAGACTTTCAAGTTTTTCGAGAGGCAAGCCGCTGGATGGCTGATTTTTGAGCGTCAGCGCAGAATAACTTAAACTTAAACCTCAAGGCACCACCATATACATCTACATTTTGATTTTTTTTTTTTAAATACTGAAATGACAAAAAACGGTTATCGTAAATATATATGTAAATGTATATAACTCCAAATAATCCAAAAATATAATCAATATAGAACACATTCTGAAAAAAAGATCTGCTATTTTGTCGATTGCCAGTACACGTTACAAATGAATGACCTTTGCAAAGGCCGAAATGAGAGTTTTGACGTTGCATCTCAGTATGTGGTGTCTCATGGCACTTCCAGTCCTTACTTGGGGTTAATGAGGCAGTAGTTGTTGGTCAAATTAGTGATCTCGATGGTCACGCTCCTCCTGCTCGTCACGTCGGCGGCCACGGCTTCGGCGGATTCCGTCATGTCGACTGTGGCGGCGAGTCGGGAAGAGTAAAGAAAAGAAAAGAAAATGGGAGACTGAAATGAACGCTCCTCTGTCTCCTTCACCCCAATCATCCGAAATGATTCCACCGAAAAACATCGTCCTGACCTCTCCTCTGCCTACATTGCTCTGCTTGGCATTCCACTGACCTTCCGAGGCCACAGGTAGAGCAGCTGCGCTTATAAATGATGGATTCGGGCCCGGGTAATGAGATGTGTGAAGTGCAGCTTTGAGAACCGCTTTGGTCTGACTGTCAGCGGCCTAATTAGCGAGCGTACCTTTTCAATTACAGCCAATAATGTCAGGCACGGTGGCTAAAAAAAATTTTTTTTTTTTAAATGTTGGCCGTACAAATGCACCCGAAACGCTTCATCAGTCTTGCATCTTAACTTTCATGAACATAGGCCAATAAGTATCCGTAAAATCTCTCAAAGACAAAGCGTCTTACCTGCTTCAACGACCTGTAGGCGCTCTCAAGTTCCAAAGTGGGGGGGGGAAAAGAGGAAAAGTAGCAGAGGAGGAGTTCCTTTTTTTTTTCCTTAGGACAACACCCTTTTCATGAAGAACGTTTCCACCCTTCAAACAGTGCGTCAGTCTTCAGTCAGTTGGTTATCCAGATCCCCCCCTCCCCCGTTAACCATGGAAAGACAGCAAATACATTTGCACCTGAGCCACACCCAAGTCTGCGGCGCGTATTTACTGTGAGCAAATAGGAACAAAATCCACCCCACCTGCAGGCTTATTGTGTCCTGAATTGGTGCCTGAGTTGTCATTGTGCAAGAAAAGCAACCGGGGGCGAGTCGGGACCCATGTCTGGGGGCGGGGCTTTGGTGCTGGAATTCTGCTGGGGCTACATAACAAAGACTTGCTAGTAAATCATCGAGATCTGTCATTCCTAACCACTGTGGCGTGTCCTGCAAGAAAAAGATCCATTTATCACTTACCGACTACATCCTGAGCCTTACGCTTACAACGTTCAGGTCTGGTCTGGTCAGTGGGTTGGTGGCTCCAGGCCCCATGGAAATTAGGCTCCCTTTGTAGAAGTGTTTAATTCTTGACGTTAAGACTTATTTCTACAATCTCAAATTTGGTTCGACCACAAACGATATTCAGCTCGTCTTTTGTCCTGTCTCACACCTGAATTTTGGCCTGTTTTACTGCCACGTCTCTTCTATTTTTGTTTGGTGGTGTGGCGTGAGATTTTGTCAAAAATGTGCCTTAGCTCAATAAAGGGTGGGGAGAAACACTGACCTGGAGCAGTGGTTCTCAACTGATGCCAACCTACAGAAATTAAAAAAAAAGCATTTTATTTTTTTGGGGTGAAATGAAATAAAATTTAAAAAAGAATGTTGAAAAAAACAAAAGATAACTAACTGAAAGAGTATAACCATAATTAAAGCAAAAATTTGGTTTGCTTTCTTCGTTGTCATTTCATAGATGAGCTTTCAACTTTGATTTTTAATGTATTTATTTCAGTGTTACTGAAAGAAAGAATAGTGAAAATGGGATGATGGGTTCCGGAGATTTTTTTTTTTTTTGTGTGTCAGAAAAACTTTTTTGGGGGAAAAATGTGACTTGTATGTGAGAATCTGGTCAGAGAACGCCCTTCAGATTACACAAACACTAGTTTGACATTTACATTCACCCTTGTTGGAATGGAAAATTGTCACAAAAGCATACGAGCCTCGCATTCCACATACAGATCGGGACTTGCTTGGGGCTCCCTTCCCCAACCTGCCAAGAACAACAACGGCAACGATGGATTTCTCCATGTGATGTTTAACAGCAAGCAACTGTTTGGCCACAGGCTTGCTCCAAGCGGAAACTCCCAGTTTGAAGTTCATTTAAAAAGTGATCATAAAACCAAGAGAATCACATGGTGGGTATTCAACCAAAACGCATTCGTTTCGACTGAGGGAAATCCGCTAGCTTAATGCTCACACACATTTCAAAGCAGGGTTTTCAACTTGGATTAGGGTTTCAAGGTAGGATTTTGAGCAAGGATTAGGGTTTCAAATTTGGGTTTTAAATTAGGGCTTGGGTTTCTAATTAGGGTTTTGAACTAGGATTGGGGTCTCAAAGGAGGGTTTTGAACTAGGGTAGGTGTTTCCAATGACGCTTTTGGATAAGGGTTAGGATTTCAAATTAGGATTTCAAACACGGTTTTGTGTCTTAAATCAGGAGTTTCAACTAGGATTAGGATTCCAATTTTGGGTTTTAAATTAGGCTTTCAAGGTAGGGCTTTATACTGGGGAAGTGGTTTCAAATCAGGGTTTCAACCTAGGGATTCAAAATAGGGTTTCAAATTAGCATTCGGGTTGCAAATTGGGGTTTTAAATTGCAGTTAGTGTTTCAAATTCGAGTTTCACATTTGGGTTCTACATTGGGGTTAGTTTGTCAAATTAGGGTTTCAAAATAGGATTCAGGTTTCAACGTGGGTTTTAAAACTAGGGTTTAGTGTCTTGAATTAGGATTTTCCACGAGGGTTAGCAGGCACGGTGGCTAAAAAAAATTTTTTTTTTTTAAATGTTGGCCGTACAAATGCACCCGAAACGCTTCATCAGTCTTGCATCTTAACTTTCATGAACATAGGCCAATAAGTATCCGTAAAATCTCTCAAAGACAAAGCGTCTTACCTGCTTCAACGACCTGTAGGCGCTCTCAAGTTCCAAAGTGGGGGGGGGAAAAGAGGAAAAGTAGCAGAGGAGGAGTTCCTTTTTTTTTTCCTTAGGACAACACCCTTTTCATGAAGAACGTTTCCACCCTTCAAACAGTGCGTCAGTCTTCAGTCAGTTGGTTATCCAGATCCCCCCCTCCCCCGTTAACCATGGAAAGACAGCAAATACATTTGCACCTGAGCCACACCCAAGTCTGCGGCGCGTATTTACTGTGAGCAAATAGGAACAAAATCCACCCCACCTGCAGGCTTATTGTGTCCTGAATTGGTGCCTGAGTTGTCATTGTGCAAGAAAAGCAACCGGGGGCGAGTCGGGACCCATGTCTGGGGGCGGGGCTTTGGTGCTGGAATTCTGCTGGGGCTACATAACAAAGACTTGCTAGTAAATCATCGAGATCTGTCATTCCTAACCACTGTGGCGTGTCCTGCAAGAAAAAGATCCATTTATCACTTACCGACTACATCCTGAGCCTTACGCTTACAACGTTCAGGTCTGGTCTGGTCAGTGGGTTGGTGGCTCCAGGCCCCATGGAAATTAGGCTCCCTTTGTAGAAGTGTTTAATTCTTGACGTTAAGACTTATTTCTACAATCTCAAATTTGGTTCGACCACAAACGATATTCAGCTCGTCTTTTGTCCTGTCTCACACCTGAATTTTGGCCTGTTTTACTGCCACGTCTCTTCTATTTTTGTTTGGTGGTGTGGCGTGAGATTTTGTCAAAAATGTGCCTTAGCTCAATAAAGGGTGGGGAGAAACACTGACCTGGAGCAGTGGTTCTCAACTGATGCCAACCTACAGAAATTAAAAAAAAAGCATTTTATTTTTTTGGGGTGAAATGAAATAAAATTTAAAAAAGAATGTTGAAAAAAACAAAAGATAACTAACTGAAAGAGTATAACCATAATTAAAGCAAAAATTTGGTTTGCTTTCTTCGTTGTCATTTCATAGATGAGCTTTCAACTTTGATTTTTAATGTATTTATTTCAGTGTTACTGAAAGAAAGAATAGTGAAAATGGGATGATGGGTTCCGGAGATTTTTTTTTTTTTTGTGTGTCAGAAAAACTTTTTTGGGGGAAAAATGTGACTTGTATGTGAGAATCTGGTCAGAGAACGCCCTTCAGATTACACAAACACTAGTTTGACATTTACATTCACCCTTGTTGGAATGGAAAATTGTCACAAAAGCATACGAGCCTCGCATTCCACATACAGATCGGGACTTGCTTGGGGCTCCCTTCCCCAACCTGCCAAGAACAACAACGGCAACGATGGATTTCTCCATGTGATGTTTAACAGCAAGCAACTGTTTGGCCACAGGCTTGCTCCAAGCGGAAACTCCCAGTTTGAAGTTCATTTAAAAAGTGATCATAAAACCAAGAGAATCACATGGTGGGTATTCAACCAAAACGCATTCGTTTCGACTGAGGGAAATCCGCTAGCTTAATGCTCACACACATTTCAAAGCAGGGTTTTCAACTTGGATTAGGGTTTCAAGGTAGGATTTTGAGCAAGGATTAGGGTTTCAAATTTGGGTTTTAAATTAGGGCTTGGGTTTCTAATTAGGGTTTTGAACTAGGATTGGGGTCTCAAAGGAGGGTTTTGAACTAGGGTAGGTGTTTCCAATGACGCTTTTGGATAAGGGTTAGGATTTCAAATTAGGATTTCAAACACGGTTTTGTGTCTTAAATCAGGAGTTTCAACTAGGATTAGGATTCCAATTTTGGGTTTTAAATTAGGCTTTCAAGGTAGGGCTTTATACTGGGGAAGTGGTTTCAAATCAGGGTTTCAACCTAGGGATTCAAAATAGGGTTTCAAATTAGCATTCGGGTTGCAAATTGGGGTTTTAAATTGCAGTTAGTGTTTCAAATTCGAGTTTCACATTTGGGTTCTACATTGGGGTTAGTTTGTCAAATTAGGGTTTCAAAATAGGATTCAGGTTTCAACGTGGGTTTTAAAACTAGGGTTTAGTGTCTTGAATTAGGATTTTCCACGAGGGTTAGGATTTCAAATTACGGTTTTAAATTGGATTGAAGGTCTTAAACTAGGATATCAAACTCGGATGCTGGTTTCAAATTAAGGTTTTAAATGAGACTGAACAACCGTATCCACAGCCACCCAGATCCAATCTTAGTTGCTGCTCGCTGGAGTGAAATAATGAGCCATAATGAAACCAGCAACAAACAAACAATTAGACGTGAGTGCTTTATTATATCAATCAAATAACATTGAAGGCACAATACGAAGTAGCGAGCCGGCACGCCGGCCATGCACGCTTTCATTTTTTGCACTTTTTGGACACTTTTCATTCCCTGGCAAGTCAAATAATTTGGTGGTCCGACAACTCAGTAATTGTAATTGATCTAAAATGGTAGTCCGTGTTTTACTGCGTTTTCAAATCCCAACCAATCGAAGGCCAACCCCATTTTGACGTCTGAAGCAAGTGAAAAGCTAACTAGCGAGTCAACTGATCATAAAACTCCACTTTCACGATGGCCTTGCCCACAGTGGACATGGTGGCCCTCACATCCACCTGGCTGTTGCCGTACACCAGCCCGGAGCCGCTGGCGTCGGCCCGATTGAAGCCGCTCACATCCTTGCCGTCGTACATTTGCTCGTACAGCGCCTTGTCGCAGGCGCGCGTCGCCTGGAATATGCCCACCGCTAGCCGGTTCTTGTACAAGTTGTGGTCGTAGGGCACCGAGAACATGACGGCCATGCGGTGCGAGCACACGCGGTTCTGCATGTGGAAGAGGTCGTAGGTCAGCAGGCCCACGGCGCCGGTGGCCGTGTGGTCGTCTTTGGTGAAGGAGCACAGCTCGGTGTGCATGCTGCGGATGGTGGGCTGCGGCGGGTGGTGGCAGAAGCCGCTCGACATGTACACCCTGCCGCGCACAAACGACAAGACAGCCTTTTAACAACAATGGCAAGTTTACATTTGAACGTCCCCTTGACAACTCCACCGCATCGCGGAGCAGATCAAGGACATGGAGGGGTGGCAGGAGTCCAAGTTAAGCCAATCAGTCGACTTTTGAATGATACATGAGAAAACTTTGCACTTGAAATCAAATTCTGACCTAGCTTAAAAAAAATGTAAAATTGCATTGCTTACTTACCTTGGTCTCGTGCTAGGGGAAAAAGTGACGGTGTGATTGCCGTGGATGCCGGACGATACGTTTCAGTTTTCAAAGCGTTTTTGTCACGGCAGTTCACTGAGCAAGGTTTGGATTAAATATGATTTAGCGGTGCGTGACAAATGGCAATTTGGACTTTCTACGGCTTATGACGTGACTACAACTACGGTGGCCTGACAGGGTCAAAATGCCTCAACACTTACCGACTGGCGGGCCCAGGAAGCACTAGACGGTAACTGTTACAAAATATCGGACCATTGCCGGGGCAGAGGGCTTTGCTGCATTATACGGCATACAAAGGACAGGAACACGATTGACATGACACAGTGTAACACAATGCACTCTCAGCAGGTTTAGTGGGAAGGTTTAGTGTGTGTGTGTGTGTGTGTGTGTGTGTGTGTGTGTGTGTGTGTGTGTGTGTGTGTGTGTGTGTGTGTGTGTGAGAGAGGGAGAGATAGAGCTGCCTGATGCTGATCGATGGCGTGCACACATCTAAGCAACACTGAGTGTACCTGCCTGCGATGTGCAATGAGGCAGTGTGCGTGTGTCGCCGCATGATGGATAGGTGCATCCTGCAGAGTGATGTCACTGTCACACACACACACACACACACACACACACCATATGTACTTTTAGCATACTGTAAACATTTTTTTACATAAATACAAAATTCAAAATTGGAGGCAGGGAGGTGATTAAAAAAAAAAAAAATTACGATAAACAGATCATCGATAATATGCCCATAAATTATAATCGTCACAGTTCATAAAAATGTCGGGAAATTTGAAGCATGAGGGGCATAAAAATCGAAAAAAATAATCATAATAATAAATAAACTAAATTAGGAAATGAGGAAAGTATGAATAAATACTAAAGTAAAGAATCATAAAATAAAACATATGCATCACCTCTACAGTGTACGCTATGTACATAATATGGACAGAAGTATTGGGACACAGAGCCACCCCCAAGTTGCTGATGGGCTATTTTTTTCCCAGCTTCAAAGTTCCACCAAATTGTCCCCACAAAATTGCCAAAAGCCGGCAGAGCGGTTCATTGCAACTCACTTGGGGTTGGTGAGGCAGTAGATGGAGCTCACGTTGGTGATTTCGAACGAGCAGTTCCTGTTGGTGCTCAGGGTGGCTGACAGGGCCTCTGCCGTCTGCATGGTGGCTGCAAAACATTCACTCACTATGTCATCCCACGTTCGACATAACCCAAAATTCGAAACAGTGCGTAAAATCAGCAAACTACTACAAAGTGAGCAATTTTTTTTAGTGATGTGAAAATCCTCTCTACCTGTTTTGGGGCGAATCTGCCGGCTTGTGTGAGGCGGGGCAGTGTCTTCTTGTGTTTTCCCCTGACCTGAGCAAGAACGACGAAGAGGAGCAGGAGGAGGCGGGGAGTCGACTTTCCTGACACAAGTGCAGGCGTGTTCACTGTGCTCAGAGGAACAAAAAAAAGGTCCATTTCAGCCACACCCTGAAGAGTTGCAGAAGAAACATACTGAATTAAATATGAATGATTGAATCGTAATTTTGCATATAACAAATGATAGTAAATTACTACTGTTAAAAAAATAACAACTGAAATAACATGTGCGTACAATTGCAACCAGAATTGATGTTTTTCCCCTCTGGTCCGGTCACGCGTTTCCTCGGTCACTTGTTGCTAGGCAGAATTTGTCAGGGCACAATCTATTGTGCCCCTTGTCAAGTTGGGATGAAACGATAATGGCAATATTAAAATTGCCGTGATATCATCGTTGTCATGTCAAGCACCGCATCTGTTCAATAAGAAGGGTTGCATGTTTACTTTGCCACTTGTTGCTAGGCAGAATTCCTGGGCAAAGTCGGTTTTGGCTCAAATCCTGATGAGGAAAAAAAGTCAATTACAAGACATAATAATGACGGATACATTTTGTCGATACACGATATGATAGGAAAATGAAAAAAAAAATGTTTGTAATTTGTTTTGCCCAATACAATCAAATATAAGCCACCAAAAAAAGTCCTTTTGTGACACTGAGCCGACATTTGTGATGGGACTCTTTCTATTTCCCATTCGATCCCACCTAATAAACATGACATGGGACTTCTTTCCATGTGATCCTCCAGGGTGTTTTAAAAAAAAAAAAAAATTTAAGCAAATGTTTGACTATTTAAATTGATTAACATGCTCTTCATCTAAATGGGACAAGTCGCAGACGTCTCTCTGGAAGGTTTCGGATTGTGATGAGCAACCAGCGCAAACAAACCACCGGCATTATTGCACAACGGCGTATGTGGGGCTGCAGGTGAGAGTTCGCTTGGGAAAGCCCATCCCACATTTCACCACTCCTTGAGAATATTCTTGGCGAGCTGCATGCTTCGCCTGGAGGGACCACACACACACACACACACACACACACACACACACACACACACACACACACACACAAAAGCGTGTACTGTACTCGGGTATAAGACGAGAGCTACTTCCCAATTATGTTTTCCACCCCCCCCCCCACGCTTTGAGATGTGCTTCACTTGTATATGTGACGTGACGCCAGCTGTTGGGAAGTCTTCATCTTCGATGCTTCAAGTCAGCAGATGGTCATAAAAGACTGCAAAAAGAAGAAAAAAAAATAGACATGCATATTATTTAAAACAAAAATGCTGCATTTGCATGAGACAAACTTTGTATGTGTATTTAAAGCATTCCATGTGATGCTTAGCCAGTTACCTTGGCAGAAAATGGCATTCATCCTTTCATGCACCCTGTAAGATGGTAACATGATAAGCGGTCCACTGTAGTACCCGCTATCCCTGAAAGGGTTAATCGTGAGGCGAAGTAGCCTTGCCTTCATTATATCCAGCGACAACATTCATCATATTGTGAAACAAAATGGGAGCAAAGGGGTGAGACCACATTCATCCGGAAAACAAAATCAAAAGAAGTCGAAAGAGTGCTCTTTGTGTTAGCTTGTGCTTTTTTTTTTTTTTTTTTACAATTTAAGCCAAAGAAAAGTCGCTGACAGACTTCTTGTCATCTTGTCTCAACAAATGGCTATGAGAATTCAAAACAACATGAAAAAAAAAAAATCAGTTTCGCATCAGTAATAAAGTCTGAATATCAGAGTGAAAATGTTCTGAGAGAAAAGACGCATTTCCGTGTGGAAAAAGCTCGAATTTTAGCACGAATGAAGTTGTAAAGTTGTGACAACAAAGAAATGTAAATGGTTTTCATTTTAGAAAAAAAAAGTTGAAATGCAAAACTAAAAGCATCTTTTTACATGGGAGGTAGAGCTCGTTTCATGGGAATGAAATCAGAATCAAGAGTCAATGACGTTTGTGATGTCAGTTGTTGCTAGGCAAATTTCATTTGGCATAATAAATTGGAAAAACAACAACCCATTCCCTGTTTTCGCTCTCACGTCAATATCTTTGAGAGGCAGGGTGACACAAAAGGACAAAATATCAACAATCTGTAGACACGATTCATGCATTCATCATATTCAATTACCGCAATGGCGGAATCACGTTTTGAGCCCCCCCGCCCCCTTTCCTTTTTAAAACAAGCAAAGCTGTTGGCTTTTCTCTTTTTTTTTCCTTTAATCCAAACGATGTGGTGAAGCTGCACGCGTGCTGCTGAATTCAAGATGGAGATTAAGAGAAACCATTCAAATGACAAGCAGGAATTATTAATTAAGGATTATCAGTGAGCCAAGGTGATCAAATATTCCTGTGAAGGACAAAAAAAAAGATTGTATAAATCTAAATGTTTTTTTGGGGGGTGGGGGGGTGTTATATATTTAAATGGTTATCTAATCTAAAATAGCCAGGTGTAAAGTCGAACCTGGGCAAGGTTAGAAGACACTTGTCTGACTGTGAGCAGAACAATATGGTGCCACCTAGTGGACAGGTGTTGCATAGGCTCCTTTTTCTATCTTTAAATTTTTTTTGTCTTATTAAAATTGTTTTCTTTTTTTATTTAGTTACTGTACACAACATTTTTACAAAGAGCAACTCCAATTAAATAATAATTGTGATTTAAATATTGATTGATTGATTTCTTTTCCTTTCTACTTCGATCAATCTTACGATTCTTCCTCTTCTTCTCCTTTCGGCACGTCCCTATTCAGGGGTCGCCACAGCGAGTCAGTAATTTCCATCCGCCCCTGTAAACCGTCCTACCAACTCGCATGGTCGTCTTGGCAAAAGTTTTACGCCGGATGCCATTCCTGACGCAACCCTCCCCATTTCTCCGGGCTTGGGACCGGCACTGGGGAACAGTGCACCCCCAGGGGAGGGCACTGCTCCCCAACGGCTGGGTTGATCAATCTTACGATTGATGATTATTATTTTTTTCATTTAAATTATTTAATTGAGGTCTGCGGCATTTTATGTCACCTTCTTGGGCGGTTTATTAAGCGGCAGGGACACGCCTTGCCCTTGTTGACGTGTGTTTCACCTCACAGCAGGAATCCTGCAGACTCTCGGGTGTGTTTGCACAAATGTTTCGAATATGTGGGTGACCACACGAAAAGGGACTACGCATGTGATTGAAGTGTACCTAATGACGTGTCCCATCCAGTTGCTGTGCTTGCTAGAATGCCCCCCCCCCACATATACACACACACACACACACACACATAACAAGGGAGGTATAAATCTGAGGTGGGGTGGGGGGGCATCATGCAAACTTCACAGTGATTAATCTGGGATGATGGTTTGCCAGGAGACGAGCGTATTGATTGATTGCTGTAGGGGGGCCGGGGGGGGGGGCGCAAGGTTCTCCACGTTTACTTGGTGATGAATAGGCTGTCAGGGCCAGCAAGCGCCAAATATGGCCTTGTAAATGAATGTTTAAACGATTATGGTTTAAGTGTAAATATTACATCCATTAGTGGGGGTACGACGGTGGGGGATTACATTGAAATGAGAAGGGGATGGGGGGGGGGGGTCGGATCAAGGAGGGAAGAGGAGAAACCTGTGAAAATATCCCTTGAAAGTGCATCCCGACACGTGGCTTTAAATCTGCATGTGCAATGTTTAGTCAAAGTCCTTGACACTAATCGGCCTGCGTGGTGTGTTTGTGCGCTTTGAAGAGGGCATGGGCTGAAGAAGGCGAGAGGGCTGGCAGGGGTAGTGAGGGGCGGGGGGGCTTTAAGTTGACAGAGCATGCCGGCGCATCCGCCCGCTCAAATTAGCGGCAGCTAAAATACACGCGGGGTGACGCGCCAGAGGTGAGAGCGGGAATAAAAGGCACGCCTGGGAGATGATTTGAACGGATTAATACCCGCCGTCATCCTCCGCCTGAGCCAAATCAATATTGTGCAATGCACGAATGAATTTGTGTGACCAAAAAAAACAAAACAAAGCAAAAGAAAAAAAAAAAAAGGAGAACAAAAAGAAGACAATGTCAAGTCAAAACAAGCCAAACTGTCTCGCGGCTTGCAATTAGCAAGCGCCACTCTTTCTCTGCCGTTCCTCCATCTGTGGAAACTGCGTGTGTCTAAAATAGCGCTTGGGCCAATTTTTTTTTTGAAGCCGATGTGTTTGATGGCTGAATTATGCAAACGTATGCACCACACATACATATTTTCAGTGGATGGGTGATTTATTTAAATTTATAATTTAATCTCAACGTAAAGATTAGGATTAGACAAAGAAACTATGTTTTTTTGCTACAAAAATTTTTGTTCAGTCTGTCATTCAATGGCTATATTTCAGCTATTTTTTAGCGGGGTGGGGCATGCATCTGATTTTTTGATGCAATGTGAACAATATATATATATATATATATATATTTTTTTTTTTTTCAAATTTGACCCGGGCCTCTTTTGTACAGTATGTGGATAAAAATTGCATAGATATGGTATATATTTTCACGATCAAGTATCAGTGGTCAGTATCGGCGAGTACTCAAATAAGTCGTGGCACTCACACTCGATCTCAAAAAGTGTTCTACTCCCCTCAGGTGGATGCAAGGGACCATTAGCCCCCAGCCCACCCTTTTGCATCCCACTGTTAAGAAGTAACCCTAAAAGTTGAGTTTTACAGCACAATGTTTCCACTTTCTTCGCTGAGTGCGATCAAGTGTGGTCGACAAAACCAGAAGAGGTTTGAAGCTTCGAGATATGCAAATGTATGCGCTATACATTCACATTTTCATTGTTCAAGTAAGCGCGCACCCCCCCCCCGCGCCGTCTTTCCTGTGAGCGCCGAGCCGACCGGGCAGCCTGCGTGCGACCCTCGCGTCAGCACTTTATTAGAACGGGAGACCGCATTGATTTCTGATTATTGGTGCGCGCCGATACACAAAAAAGGCTCTTTACCCATCTGAAAAAAAAAACAGCGGAGAAAAGGAGCGCGGCGTCTCTCGACCAAACAATCTGCTTCCCTCCTTGCATTTTCTGCTAATTAACTGGCGTGAACA